CTGGCCTACCCCTTCGGTCTCTTTCAACCGGTAACTGCCTAGCATATCAGGGTGCTGGCCTACCCCTTCGGTCTCTTTCAACCGGTAACCGCCTAGCATATCAGGGTACTAGCCTACCCCTTCGGTCTCTTTTAACCGGTAACTGCCTAGCATATCTGGGTGCTGGCCTACCCCTTCGGTCTCTTTCAACCGGTTACGGGGTCTATTTCACCCCTACCACTACTACATAATATACTAGCATATAAGCACATAAATCACATACTTCCTAGCATATATGGGTGTTGGCCTACCCCTTCGGTCTCTTTTGACCGGTTACAGGGTCTACTTCACCCCTACCACTACCACATAATAACATAGCATACGAGCACATAAATCTCAACAGATAGTGGCATAATAGACATTTATCACAAAGACAATTATCTCTACTATAAACAACTACTAGCGACATTGGTGCCTTCGACACACTCATACCGGGAAGGTAACTCACCTCGAACACTGGAAGTAGCTAAACAGTCCCCGACTCTGAATACCAACCCAACTCAATCCCCTACACATAAAAGATTTCCTTAATTCCCTTTCATACTCATAACCACCTAAGGGTCAACTTTGGTCCAAGTCAAAGTCAACGCTCCGAGTTGACTCAACTTGTCGAGTTTGCCCTTTAACTCGCCGAGTTTTCATAAATCACAGAATCATGTTATTGTGATCTAACTCGTCGAGTTATCTTCCAACCCGACGAGTTTTCATAACTCACAGAAACGCGATATCCCGGGTTGACTCGTCAAGTTTTCCCCCAACTCGCCGAGTTCGTCCTTTACAACAAAATCGGGACACTTCTAATCACTACGTCGAGTTCCTTTATGAACTCGTCGAGTTCTTCAGTCTGTTAATCATTCTTAATGCATCAAGCCATTATTCTTCATATCTACACCCTATATTCCAGATCTAGCCTAGAAATGCCTCTAGGAGGGTAAAGTTTCCAACTTTACCCATTAATACCCTTCCTAATGAGATTAAGCTCAAACCCTAACCCAAAAGGCCAAAGTCTTCATCCAAAGACCACCAAAACTACAACATAGACCATGAGGTCATAGATCTGGACTCTAGGGACCAAAATATCACGTAAAGTCTTAAACTTTATCCACATGCATGACCATTTGGAGCTTGAAGGATCAAAATGATAGTCTAAAGGTTGCATGGGACTTCCATGGCCATAAAGTTAGCACCTTTATGCCATGAAAACCCCTTGAGACCCTAGATCTGAAGTGTTAACCCATTTGGGACGTCCAACTCCCAAGGACCATGATATTTGGGTCAAAACCAAGCAAAATAACCCCAAAAGAAGATCTAAACAACTATAAGGCAAGGTTCAAGCTGTATACCAGAAAAGGGCCGTGGATGAGGCAAGGATTCTGGATCTACAAGCTCCTTCTTGAGTCCTCAAGCTTTTCCTTCTTCCAATGGCTTCAATACACACACTAAAACACTTGAAATGGATCACAAACACTCACAATAGCATTAGGGTTTCGATATTAGGGTTTTAGACAGTGGAGGTTGGAAATGAGGCCAACACCTTGGGTTTAAGGTGTTTAAATAAGGTGCAAACCCCGAAAATTAGGGTTTCATATATGCCAGCCTACTCGTCGAGTTGAGGCCTCCCAACTCGTCGAGTAGGTCTCTTAAAATGCACGACCCTTATGATCTCTACTCGACGATTTTGGGGCTCCCAACTCGTTGAGTTGCTCTATAATATAGAATAAATTATAAATTAATATGTACCAAGAACCAGACGTTACGGTATAAGGGAATACCAACTACCAGTCGGAGCAAATATACCAGAAAACACAAAATATGACGGAACAGGAGATCCATATGGCCCCATATAAATTTACAGATGGACAATGGACGCCTACTACCTAGATCAAAAGTATTGGTGCATTTTATTTCCAACTAACTTATCCGGAGCAACCCGATTATGGTATAAAAGTTTGTCAGTGGAAAGCATACATAATTTCAATAAACTACGAGAGGAATTCGTGGGACATTTCGTATAACACAGGAGATACACGGCGGACGCACAGGCCATCCTAGGATGCAGGAAACGGGAGGACGAATCTATAAGTGCTTTCATACGAAGATTCAATAAAGTCACACTTAACACCCCAGAGAAAGCCGATAACATGGTTATCGCCGCTTTCACATACGGTTTGCATCTATGAACTCTGTTTAAAAAATTAGTAGGAAAACAACCGTCTTCTAGAAAAGAAATGGTGGAAAGAGTCCACCGATACATGAAGCAGGAAGAAGCAGCATCTGAAAAACTCAAAACCGACCAGGGCAAAAAAGCAACCCGATCACCTTATGCCAGAGGAAATGCACTAGAAAATGCAAAACACCAAAACATGAAACAAACTCGTTTCAATCGGTTCTCATGTTTGAATCGCAACACGCCAACATCTCGGCACGACCCTCGAAACGACGTAGTTTCAATAAGCGAAAGCAAAAAAGAACACATGAAATAAAAGCAGAGAGAAGATAAGGAACAAAGATCAAGGGCGATACTGCGAGTTTCATGAATCCACCGGGCATGACACTCTCGAATGTATTATGTTACGACATGAACTAGAGAACAAGATGCAGTATGGAAAACTTACCAATATGATTATGAGCCTTCGATCTAAGCACCTGGAAAGCATCACACCAATAGAACCGAAGGTAACGAACACAAGAAAGAACGAAATATTCATGTTACAACACACATACCGACAGGAGTTAACCGGTGAGTGGGAAAATTGTACTTTCACATTTGACGAATGGGATTATAGTCATGGCCATTACAGAGGAGACGAATCGTAGTCGGAGGACTAATATGAAGAAATTATGTTAATGATATTTATGTCGATAATGGACGTTCTACAGATGTTATGTACAATCATTTCTTCAAGCAATTACATGGGTACGTGCAAGCGAAAGTGGAACCATCAGAGAATCACTTGATAAGCTTCACCGACCATAACGTATGGTCAGAGAGAGCAATACATTACCACTAACCCTTATCGGTTATCACAATGGGAGGAATAATAAAAGCTCATATGTTTTGTTATCATAAATGCATTTTCACCATATGACATCATCTCTGGAAGGACGATAATACACAAGTTCAAAGCCATCGCGTCAACGATTCACCGAGTAGTCAAGTTTCAAACGAGGTCAGCCGTCAGAACGATGTACACCAAAAGGAGATTAGGGCAAGAAGAAAAATCTGAGGATGCACAAAACATGGACATTAATTTTGGTCAATTCAGAGTCAATAGGGACAACAATATGATGTTGGGGGAAAAAGGGAGAAACACTAATAAAAAAACGAGCAAGAGCCAATTGAGGAAGTAATGGAAGAAAATGGGTGCCTGAAGCAAGCGTTGCAACTGTTAGCGGATAGAGCATCGTGGCATATCACTGAAGGGAGCACATCTGTCGTCGTCAAACAATTTAAATGGACAATACGCATCATGTCGACTACCACACAGGAAACGAAGCAGGGATCGGAGAGGCAACAAGAAGAAGTACCAAGTCTTCATCATTATAATGCCCACAACAACGGTTTTATCGCTCGATGCATTTTTTTGCTTGTATGTATAATAACATATGACCCAGTTTCTACTGTAATTCAATAAATAATAAATTTTATTAAAAAAGTGTCGTTTTTTCTTCGAAATAATGTATGAGTGCCATGTGATTATATATATATATATATATATATATATATATATATATATATATATATATATATATATATATATATATATATATATATATAAGTCGATACCAAATAAGGGTTTTGATTGAGAGTGAGAATCACTATTCCACTTATGTGTAAGCAGTTTCAAATTTTTCTAAAAGAGTGTCGTTTTTTCTCGACACCATGTATGATTGCCGCATCGTTGCAATGGCAACATGTTTTCAAAAGTGGTCCCATTGCACCTCAATGATTACTTTATAAATATTTATAATTTTTTAGAAATTTAAAGTATTCATTTAATCATCGGGGACGCTTCACTAGGCATCATTAATTTGTTTTCCATGCGCAAGCATAATCAACAAACAAGAAATTGAAGAGTTTTTTATTTCTTTTCTCGAAGTTTTAGATTTTCTGCTCACTCCTTGCTCTTGTGTCTTGCGTACCTGATAAATGAGCGATTGTTAACCTAATTTGATTTGGGTATAAGATGAATATAGGCTAATATACATTCTAAAAAAAATTGAGTCATATGATTTAGTGGGCTCTGTTCATGTGCACTATGTTGCACTCCTCATGGGTCGGCCCTGCCCGGACCAATTTTGCATTATTTAAAAACCTAGAACCAAACGTATTCTAAAAAATCGGTCTAGGTCTAGGTTCGGTTCTCTGTCCGATCTAGTCAAAGTCTGGTAAACGTCCAGTATAATATAAGCACGGCTTGGTCTAGTCTACGAGGTGAAAAAGTCTAGTCCAAAACAAGTTGGACCTGTTTTAAAATAGACTTTTTTCAGACATGCAAAGATTAGTTCGGATCGACGGGCCTAAACAGACCGAATATGCACCTCATAGACTACACCAAGCTGTTCATATATTATTATATTATAATAGACGTTTACCACATTTTGGCCAGACCGAGCTTTTAAAAAGAAATATTATGGAGTTATAAGAGGTAGAAATGTGTAGTATTTGTACTACTTTTATATGCTTTGCAGCAAATGAGGGTGTGACAAATTTATATTTTTCTGGACATACGAGAAAAGACTTGAGATGAGCACATTTTCCCCCTAGTTTCTAGAAATTAAAAACCAACAAAAATTATGCTATTTTAGTACAAAGTTTCATTCTATAGGGGTGTAATGTAAAAGAGTAAGTTCTCCGAAATTACTTGGCTATCACTCCATACCGCTCGCGCCTCTTCTTATGTTTAAACACACACAAACATACACACAGTCTCTAAAAAAGGGCAGAAAACCGCTCCATTGCCATATATACTCCCTACACAAACATACGCAATCACACACCTAGGGTTTGTAGAAAATTAATCGATCGGAACGATAGGAAAGGAAAATAGAGAAGAAGAATGAGAGGATCTTACTATACGTTTTACCAGAGAGCTTCCCATGCGTTTCGTGATTATCCTTCTCTGTCCAAACTTGTCGTAATCTGCACCATCAGGTCTCTTCTTCTGTTCTTCTGTTTTTATCAGATCGGTGATTGAAATGTAGATCGTTATCCTGATCGAAATTGATTTTTATATTCGGTTAACGATGATATGATTTTATGTGTTTCCGTTTGTATTGATGTTGTCCTCATGTGAAGATGTGCGTAGGTTTTCTGCTTTTTTCCATAGATACTAATCTAAATAAATGCCAGCAAATGAGTCAGAATTGTGGAACCTTTATACGCGAAACTCTGCATTGTTGATTAAATCATGACCTTTTCCCTCTATTCATGGTGGAATTTAGGATCCCGACTTAGTGTTTCGCTTGTGGAAACTTATGGTTGTGTTTCATTTTTTCATTTGCATATATACGATGACATTACTGTATAAGGATATGAAACACATGATAATTAATTAATTACTCTCAACGGATTACTAATGGATTCATGTTTCATGTATTTTATGTACCCAATGATGCCCTCTGTATTTAATTGATAAGAAGCATCTTTGAACCCGATGATGATTTGTCCCCTTTGTTTTCAAAACGAATGTGAGAAATGTTTTATGTACCCAATGATGCCCTCTGTTTTTAATATTATATACATATCACTTTATGCCAGCCATAATGGAATTCACATAGAAAATAAAACGAGAACCCATTAACAACTTGCTTGAATGGAGGTATATAACCAATTTCAAGGCTTCATTATATCGTTTTTCAACCTGCTTTTTGTTGTTTGATTGGTAACTATAATTGAACAAATGCTCTAGTCTGTTAATAACTCATGTATATATCCTCTGTTTTGGATGAATCCAGTGGTGGTGGACTTGCAGCCTATTCTGATGTGAGGCCATTTGGAAACGTTTATGCTGATGCAGCTCAACCTGCCATCAAGAAAAAGAAAGTGGTAGTTCTAGGAACAGGTTGGGCAGGAACAAGCTTCCTGAAAAACTTGAAAGATCCCTCCTTTGATATTCAAGTTGTTTCACCTTGTAACTATTTCGCATTCACCCCTTTGTTACCAAGTGTCACAGTTGGCACTGTTGAAGCCCGAAGTGTTGTTGAACCAATCCGCAACATTGTCAGAAAGGTACCTTTTTTCACTCATTTCTTTTTGCATTCTTTGTTGCTCAATTTGCTTTGGTATTGCAGAATAACTTGGACTTTGGTTTCAAGGAAGCAGAATGCTTCAAGATCGATACAGCGAACAAGAAAGTCCACTGCAAACCCACCCAAAATAATAGCATGGGTGGTAAAGAAGAGTTCACTGTTGATTATGATTACCTCGTGATTGCCATGGGAGCACGTGCAAATACTTTTAACACCCCTGGTGTCGTTGAAAATGCCCATTTCTTGAAGGTATATATATATATTGTTTATTTTATATATGTGTTTGTGTATATATTATATTTGGTGATGCATGCAGGAAGTAGAAGATGCTCTGAGAATCCGGAGGAGCATAATCGACTGTTTTGAAAAGGCAAGTCTCCCAAGTGTAAACGAGGAGGAAAAGAAAAGGATTTTGCATTTTGTTGTGGTGGGAGGTGGGCCCACAGGGGTGGAGTTTGCAGCTGAGCTTCATGATTTTCTCCATGAAGATTTGATAAAGTTATACCCTGATCTTGAAAAGTACATCTCCATTACACTGCTGGAGGCAGGTGATCACATATTGAACATGTAAGCATTACACAAAAGATTTAGAAACATAACAACATGTAAATTTCCAGATGTTTTTATAATATCATATGATTATATCTTCGTTTGAAAGGTTCGACAAAAGAATTACTGCTTTTGCTGAAGAAAAATTCCAAAGAGATGGAATTAGTGTGAAATATGGATCAATGGTGGTTAAAGTCGCTGACAAATCAATCACTCTTAAAGAAAGATCAAGCGGCGAAACTAAACATATTCCTTACGGAATGGTTGTTTGGTCAACCGGAATCGGAACTCGCCCAGTCATCACCGATTTCATGAAGCAAATTGGCCAGGTAGGTTTGACCTTTGACTTTGACCCGACCCGTTTTAATCACCACCGTTCTTATTTCTAATCTTGTTTTTTAATTATATAATAGGGAAACAGGCGAGTTATGGCAACTGATGAATGGCTTCGGGTTGAAGGAGTACCGAATGTGTATGCTCTTGGTGATTGCGCCACCATAAATCAACGTAGAGTATTGGTAAGTAATTAAGTAGGTTGTTTTTAAAAAAAAAATATTCGAAAAGATATAAAAATGTTGAGATTTGGTTTATATATTACATTACAGGAGGATATTGCCGCGATATTTAGTAAGGCAGATAAGAGCGGGAGTGGAAAGCTGAACGTGGAGGATTTTAATGAAGTGATTAAAGATATCATCGAAAGGTATCCACAAGTGGAGATTCACTTAAAGAGTAAAAAACTGAAGAATTTTGTCCAGTTGTTGGAGACTCATCAAGGTGAATCTGCGAAACAAACAACTCTTGATATTGAAAAGTTCAAATCAGCACTTTCTGAAGTGGATACTAAAATGAAAAGCCTTCCTCCAACAGCACAGGTCATCCATCAATTTTATTTATTTTAATCAGAATCATTCTACTACTTAAAAAATAATAATAGCACACGTGAGTTGAGTTTAATGTTTAATGTTGTTTTGTTTTGTCTTAGGTGGCGGCTCAACAAGGGGAATACTTAGCTGAATGTTTTAATAGGATGAAGGAGTGTGATGAGAATCCTGAAGGTCCGATTAGATTCAGAGATTCTGGTCGCCATCGTTTCAAACCTTTCAGGTATATTAATTAATTAATTTTTGAAAATTAGTCAAACAATCGAAACTGAAATTATTTATTTAATTTTAAGGTATAAGCATCTTGGGCAGTTTGCACCACTGGGTGGTGAACAAACTGCGGCCCAACTTCCCGGGGATTGGGTTTCTATTGGTCATAGTACGCAGTGGCTGTGGTACTCTGTGTATGCCAGGTAGTACCTTGTTTTTTTTTTTTTTCTGTTATATTTTTATATATTGTTTTAAATAATTTTTATAAAATTATAATGAATGAATGAATGAATTATGCAGCAAGCTAGTGAGTTGGCGCACTAGGTTTTTGGTGGTGGGTGACTGGGGGAGGAGGTTTGTTTTTGGAAGGGACTCCAGCAGAATCTAAATAATACAATGCCTACCTACCTACCTGCCTGCATCATCATCAGCAAATTGGGAAGGAGGATATGTTTGTCATTTCACTTTTTCTTTTTAAAGTTTATTATGTATTTTTATTATGCATTATATAAGGTTCTATTACAGGGCAAAATCATTGTTGCTGTAAGAGAGAATTTGCATTTTGCAAAATTTTGTAACGTGAGGTGTATTGCTCTTCACATTGATTGTTTTGGTTTTGTTAGCAGGTGGCATGTCATATGATTTCTAGTTTACTGTAATTTAGTTATAACAATTCAATCAAGTCATATGAATTGAAATAATAATGGTTTTCTCTATTTTTTTTGCTATAAGATTAAAAAAATCAAATCAAAGTATCATTATATGTAACTTATCTAGTAAAGTTTGATTAATAATTATTTTTTATTCATGACAATCTTATTCTTGTTTATCAATTTAATTGTAACATTCCATTTACCAAAAAGTAGTTACACAACTTTCAAAATCATCCAAGAGAAGAAAGGTAACACACTTAATTAAGTTTGTAAAATAATTAAAAACTGTTTTATATAAAAAGATATTCCATTCTTTCTATGAAAACTAAGTTCCTTTGTTAAAATTAAAAAACACTTGTATCTGTACATTACATATAGAGCATGGCAAACATAGAAAATCAAGCAATATCATATCCACTTTCGAACAATCAATGAATTTGTACATTACATACAGAGTTGGATCACATACCTTTAATTTCAAGGAAGAAAGTAAGATGTAAATATAGTGATCCAACTTAGTAACAATATGAGTAGCACACAAACGCTACAAATATGCTGTTTACATGATTTGTTAAATATCTAATATACAAATAATTTTTTTATGGGAGTTATATCGTTATAAATATCTCCTCTAACCATCCAAATAATTCCTATATTGTATAAGTTTTGTATTTTATTTTCAACAAATATTCAGAAGAAAGGGAGATTTATGAAAAGTATAGAGACCAACTTGCAATTTACGAAAGTTGAAAATTAATTTGATAAAGTTGTGGAATTTTCTCAATTCATGGCAGTGGTTGAATCGGAGAGAAAGGGAGAAACCGACATTGAATTGTGAAGAAGGGAAAATGTCAAAATGAGATATAAGAAAGTTTCTGCAACAAACCTCTATCTAGAAGGGAAGGAAATTGTGTTCCAATATTCAAAAATATAATTGTTCCACAATCTCCTTTTCCAAGATACAGTTTTGAAATCAATGAACAAGAAAACATTATGAAGCAGTAGCACTTGACATTCACTTTGACGACTGTTTGGATTCAATGGTAGAAGAAAGTAACTGAATAATAGACAGAAATGAAGAGATATGAACACTAAAAGATATTGTTTTTGTCCCACATCGGCCAGAAAAGAAACTTCTTCGTTTCTTATAAACTTCAGATGGACTACAATTGTCGCCGAGCTTGGTAACGCGAGCTTGTGACTCAAGTGAGGGCTTTAAAGTGGGTAGGACCGAGTCCGAGCCTTGTCTGGTTGAGTCAGGCTGTTGCAAAATCTGGCTTGCCCGTTCCAAGTTTGGAGTTGGATCATGTGGCTCGAGCGAAGGCTTGGGCTTCATGGTTCCTAGAGCAGAGGGCAATGCGTTAGGCTGGTTTAACAGAGCTGCGAATACTTCTCGCTTTGAACAGTGGAAGGATTACAAGCCGGTGCTCTCTTGGCCCAAATAACCAGCCTGGCTCCTTCTAATGGACTCCCATTTTTTTATTTTGTCAAAATCCCAAATTATGTCTGGATTAAATGAAGTCGTACCCAAGAAATAAAATTCGTCACTTTATTTTTTGGAGGCCAACAATTACTTCATTTTTCTTTTGAGATTAGGTTTTAGTCTATTGTTATAGAGGTGGCAATTATTTATTCGTTGTTAACATTTTAAATCATTCATGTTAAGAATTACTAGAAATTATTGTTTTTTTTTTCTTGTTTAATACTTTAATGATATCAACATGTCATCTAATATCCTAGAGAATAAGTAATCACAAAGGACAACTCAGTGATACCAAACTAAGTGCACGAAAGTGAAGCAACGTTGGCAGCATGGTATGCAATAAAGATTGTTTGGTATCACAAAGGGCTTCATGGTTCCTAGAGCAGAGGGCAATGCGTTAGGCTGGTTTAACAGAGCTGCGAATACTTCTCGCTTTGAACAGTGGAAGGATTACAAGCCGGTGCTCTCTTGGCCCAAATAACCAGCCTGGCTCCTTCTAATGGACTCCCATTTTTTTATTTTGTCAAAATCCCAAATTATGTCTGGATTAAATGAAGTCGTACCCAAGAAATAAAATTCGTCACTTTATTTTTTGGAGGCCAACAATTACTTCATTTTTCTTTTGAGATTAGGTTTTAGTCTATTGTTATAGAGGTGGCAATTATTTATTCGTTGTTAACATTTTAAATCATTCATGTTAAGAATTACTAGAAATTATTGTTTTTTTTTTCTTGTTTAATACTTTAATGATATCAACATGTCATCTAATATCCTAGAGAATAAGTAATCACAAAGGACAACTCAGTGATACCAAACTAAGTGCACGAAAGTGAAGCAACGTTGGCAGCATGGTATGCAATAAAGATTGTTTGGTATCACAAAGGGCTTCATGGTTCCTAGAGCAGAGGGCAATGCGTTAGGCTGGTTTAACAGAGCTGCGAATACTTCTCGCTTTGAACAGTGGAAGGATTACAAGCCGGTGCTCTCTTGGCCCAAATAACCAGCCTGGCTCCTTCTAATGGACTCCCATTTTTTTATTTTGTCAAAATCCCAAATTATGTCTGGATTAAATGAAGTCGTACCCAAGAAATAAAATTCGTCACTTTATTTTTTGGAGGCCAACAATTACTTCATTTTTCTTTTGAGATTAGGTTTTAGTCTATTGTTATAGAGGTGGCAATTATTTATTCGTTGTTAACATTTTAAATCATTCATGTTAAGAATTACTAGAAATTATTGTTTTTTTTTTCTTGTTTAATACTTTAATGATATCAACATGTCATCTAATATCCTAGAGAATAAGTAATCACAAAGGACAACTCAGTGATACCAAACTAAGTGCACGAAAGTGAAGCAACGTTGGCAGCATGGTATGCAATAAAGATTGTTTGGTATCACAAAGGGCTTCATGGTTCCTAGAGCAGAGGGCAATGCGTTAGGCTGGTTTAACAGAGCTGCGAATACTTCTCGCTTTGAACAGTGGAAGGATTACAAGCCGGTGCTCTCTTGGCCCAAATAACCAGCCTGGCTCCTTCTAATGGACTCCCATTTTTTTATTTTGTCAAAATCCCAAATTATGTCTGGATTAAATGAAGTCGTACCCAAGAAATAAAATTCGTCACTTTATTTTTTGGAGGCCAACAATTACTTCATTTTTCTTTTGAGATTAGGTTTTAGTCTATTGTTATAGAGGTGGCAATTATTTATTCGTTGTTAACATTTTAAATCATTCATGTTAAGAATTACTAGAAATTATTGTTTTTTTTTTCTTGTTTAATACTTTAATGATATCAACATGTCATCTAATATCCTAGAGAATAAGTAATCACAAAGGACAACTCAGTGATACCAAACTAAGTGCACGAAAGTGAAGCAACGTTGGCAGCATGGTATGCAATAAAGATTGTTTGGTATCACAAAGGGCTTCATGGTTCCTAGAGCAGAGGGCAATGCGTTAGGCTGGTTTAACAGAGCTGCGAATACTTCTCGCTTTGAACAGTGGAAGGATTACAAGCCGGTGCTCTCTTGGCCCAAATAACCAGCCTGGCTCCTTCTAATGGACTCCCATTTTTTTATTTTGTCAAAATCCCAAATTATGTCTGGATTAAATGAAGTCGTACCCAAGAAATAAAATTCGTCACTTTATTTTTTGGAGGCCAACAATTACTTCATTTTTCTTTTGAGATTAGGTTTTAGTCTATTGTTATAGAGGTGGCAATTATTTATTCGTTGTTAACATTTTAAATCATTCATGTTAAGAATTACTAGAAATTATTGTTTTTTTTTTCTTGTTTAATACTTTAATGATATCAACATGTCATCTAATATCCTAGAGAATAAGTAATCACAAAGGACAACTCAGTGATACCAAACTAAGTGCACGAAAGTGAAGCAACGTTGGCAGCATGGTATGCAATAAAGATTGTTTGGTATCACAAAGGGCTTCATGGTTCCTAGAGCAGAGGGCAATGCGTTAGGCTGGTTTAACAGAGCTGCGAATACTTCTCGCTTTGAACAGTGGAAGGATTACAAGCCGGTGCTCTCTTGGCCCAAATAACCAGCCTGGCTCCTTCTAATGGACTCCCATTTTTTTATTTTGTCAAAATCCCAAATTATGTCTGGATTAAATGAAGTCGTACCCAAGAAATAAAATTCGTCACTTTATTTTTTGGAGGCCAACAATTACTTCATTTTTCTTTTGAGATTAGGTTTTAGTCTATTGTTATAGAGGTGGCAATTATTTATTCGTTGTTAACATTTTAAATCATTCATGTTAAGAATTACTAGAAATTATTGTTTTTTTTTTCTTGTTTAATACTTTAATGATATCAACATGTCATCTAATATCCTAGAGAATAAGTAATCACAAAGGACAACTCAGTGATACCAAACTAAGTGCACGAAAGTGAAGCAACGTTGGCAGCATGGTATGCAATAAAGATTGTTTGGTATCACAAAGGGCTTCATGGTTCCTAGAGCAGAGGGCAATGCGTTAGGCTGGTTTAACAGAGCTGCGAATACTTCTCGCTTTGAACAGTGGAAGGATTACAAGCCGGTGCTCTCTTGGCCCAAATAACCAGCCTGGCTCCTTCTAATGGACTCCCATTTTTTTATTTTGTCAAAATCCCAAATTATGTCTGGATTAAATGAAGTCGTACCCAAGAAATAAAATTCGTCACTTTATTTTTTGGAGGCCAACAATTACTTCATTTTTCTTTTGAGATTAGGTTTTAGTCTATTGTTATAGAGGTGGCAATTATTTATTCGTTGTTAACATTTTAAATCATTCATGTTAAGAATTACTAGAAATTATTGTTTTTTTTTCTTGTTTAATACTTTAATGATATCAACATGTCATCTAATATCCTAGAGAATAAGTAATCACAAAGGACAACTCAGTGATACCAAACTAAGTGCACGAAAGTGAAGCAACGTTGGCAGCATGGTATGCAATAAAGATTGTTTGGTATCACAAAGGGCTTCATGGTTCCTAGA